TTTTTAGTTCTTCTATAATGTCACGAAGATAATTCTTTATGTCAGATGCTGCTTTTTCAGGCACTGCAGGTGTGTAACCCTGATCTCTTCTATGTTTACCTCGCCTCAGCCAGCAATGTTTGAGTTGGGGGTTGGAGACTTCCTTTTGTTTCTTCCTCTTCTCAGTTTCTGGTTTCTTCCAGATGGTGGATAGTGTGGATCCCTGGCACTTCCTGTATTGGCTACCATTACTCTGAAGCATGTTAGCTAGGGATTGCTGCCCTCCCCAGTCTGCTGATGACCGCTAAAGCACAAGCAGGGGTGGCGACAGGCTTGCCCCTCCCTTATGAGCTGGTCAAAGACTGGGAGTCTTCACCACATCAGTGTGTGCCACGCAAACTGCCTGGCTAAGTATAACTTCAGGGAGACCTTGCCCTTGGCTATTGGATCACGCACAGTGGTGGGACTCAGTCCGATCAATTTTTACCAATCTGCTCTGTGCTAGGAGTGGCTGACTGAAGCTGCTGCAGTTCTGATTCTGGGTTTATCCTGCCTGACTCCAAAATGTCACCCAGCCAGTGGCCCACTCCCGCGGGAGGACCAAACTCTCACTACGAGCTGGCACAGATCTCTGAGCTGAGCACTGTTCTCCATTCTGCTGACCCCTCCACAACCGTGTCCTCAAGGCCCTCAGGCTTGCCAACTTCCAAATTCAACTCAACTGTGCATCTTCAGATTCTAGTGGCTTTTCATATACAATGGGATCGGCTTTTTTGAGAGCACGTCTGGCTACAGTCCTCAGTCCACAACTTCCTTTTCTTTCTTTTTTTCCCCTTTTCTCCACTTTTGCCTTTAGTTTCTTTCTTGGTCAAGAGGATCTATCTCCTTCCATCTGGTCTTTTCCAGGATGTTTGATTCTAGCATCTGAGCTGTTTTTCTCAGAGAGGCTATCTATTTTGCAGCTTACTGATCCATCATCTTCCCCCCTTTGGTTTTTTGAGACAAGATCTTACTATGTATCCCAGATTTGCTTCAAACTGACAGTCTTTATCCTCTACCTGCCCAAATGCTGGGTTACTCATGAATAATAAGTAAAATATTCTCATGAATAATAAAGTAATATTCTCATGAATACTAAAAACTTCTCACCTCAGTGCATGAAAACTTTTTTTTTTTGTCTTTTTCATTTTTACCAGTACCAGGGATTGAACTCACGACTGCCTGCTTGCAAGGCAGGCACTTATGCCGCTAAGCTAAATCCCCAGCCCCATGAAAACATTTTAAAGGCATATTTTTATCAATAATTCCTCAACAAACTTTAAATACTAGATGAGAGTTTCCCAATGACTGGTAATATTTCAAAAACACTTCCAGGGAATTATAGTGGACTTCCATATATTTTTTCTTTAAGTGAAAACATAAAAATCAGCCCTTTTCCAGTATCCATTCTCATCATCATTTCATAAGAAAACATTTTTTTTGAGACAAGGTATTGCTATGTAGTTCAGACTGGCCTGTACTCACTATGTAGCCCAGGACAGCCTCAAATCCAAAGCAATCATCTTGCCTTAGCCTCCTGAGTGCTAGGATTACAGGTGTGCGCTACCACATCCGGCATAAGAGAACATTCAACATCAAAAAAGGAGAGAATGGACTTCCGGGAGAACATGGCGGACAGATAACAGATGCTATGGAGGCTCTCTGAAAGGCTTGGTTCAGAAGTCAGGAAGGGTGCGGAGTAAGGGGACACAAGCAGGTGGAGATATGCTCTGCTGATTCAGGAACGAACTGGGCTGAGAGAAACCAACTTGGAATGCAGTCCTGGTGCTAAAGCAGGAACAGAAAAGCCTCAGTGTGGAGGCTGGACCCCGCGCCATTGGAAGCCGCGATTTGGGTTTCCCGCCACGGGGCAGCTGGCTGCCTCTACAGCGGCTCAGCAAGGAGAGAGACACGCGGAAGCTCTGAGAATGGCAATCTGCGAACGGAGGCATGCACTGACTTGTGGTGAGGTGAGTGAGAGAAACTGACACTCTACCACAGTTTGACTCCAGGGGAGGACTTTCTGGGCCCCGGCAGTCCTGCGGGAGCAGGGCGCGGTGGCGACACCAGCCACACATCCCCCTCTCGGGCGGGATTGGTGAAAAGTGCCTGGCCTGCGTGACGCTGCTGGCGGACTCGGTAGGCTGGCCGAACCCAGATCCCAGAGCCCGACGGTGGCCTGGAGGGGCGGGCCCCGTGTAGGCTGCCTAACTCCCTGGTGCGCTGCGGTGGGCGGGAACACCTAGCCAGCGCAATTCGATCAGGCTGGGGCTGACAGGGAGAGAGGCTGAGCCTCCTATGTAAGCTTGCATATATAAGGAACAGAGAATATGGGAAAAGGCAGCAACAAGAAAGGCTCCTCGGCCCCCAATTCTGCTAAACAGGCAATAGTGGACACCGCACCAATAGACATAAAGCGCCATATAGAGAGCCTCATAGATCAATTCAGGAATGAAGTTATCAATGACCTGAACCTAGAAGTATGCAGAATAGTTAGAGAAATGCTAAGCACCACCCAAGAAAAAACAGATGGTGGAATGGAAGAACAGAAAAAGAGGGGAGAATTGTTTGATGGAGAAAACAGAGAATGCATAGAATGCGTGAAGCAGGTTCAAAGGGACTACCAAGAAACTAAGAAGTCTATCGAAGACTGGCATAACAGCTTGAAAGAAACTAAGGACAGACTATCTGAACTGGAGGGCAGACTTGTAATATGGGAGAATGAAATGAAAAACTTCTTAAAAATAACAAAGAAACAAACAGCAATAATACAAAGACAAGAAGATGATAAGAGGATCCATAACTTAAGGATTAAGAACATAAAAGAAGAAGTAGGGACACAAACAAGTGAACTACAAAAGCTACTCACAGAGATAATCCAGGAGAATTTTCCTAATTTAGCAAAAGGTAAAGACACTCAGATGTATGAGGCATACAGGACCCCAGCTACCTATAACCCAAACAGAGCAACACCCAGGCATATAATAATAAAAATTCCAGAAATTCAATACAAGAACAGAATATTAAAAGCTGTCAGAGACAAGAAACAGACCACTTACAAGGGAACACCCATCAGAATTACAGCAGATTTCTCTGCACAAACCATCAAATCACAAAGAGCGTGGGGGGGAATAATTCAAGCTTTGAAAGATAATAATCTCCAGCCAAGATTGAGATATCCTGCACAACTGTCCCTGGAAATTGATGGAAAAACAAGGTGCTTCCAGGATAAAGAGGAACTGGGGGAATTTGCAACCACCAATTCAACTCTATAGAGAGTTTTGCAGGATATTCTAAAAAAAGAAAAATACAAAGAACCCAGAAATAGTGGCGGGGAGGCCACAATGAGTGGAGCAGAGAACAAAATGAAGAAGACAAACTGATAGCCACTGACAGAAAAAGAGCTCAACAGAAATGAGGCAGAGAAGATTGGATGATAGGAACAACTAATTTGGAGAAAATGACATCTTAATAGGTAAAACTGATTTAGTATCATCTTGTTTTGAAGTCTCATCTAGCTTTTGTTCTTCTGTCTCCAATGGCCTAAATAGGTTGTATCTTATTGGATTTTATTATGTACGATAGTATAAGCAAAAACCTTTTAAAAACAGGAGATTATACAGAAACCATTGTTCATTTTCTGTTAGTTGATTCTAAATACTCTGTAATGCTGTCAATCTCTTAAATGGTTTTACATTGTTTTGATATACTTAATGCTACAGTATACGAAGTTGTACTCAAGGATTTCAAGGAAAGAGACAATATGGTAACTACTTTTAGGTCAGGATTATCTGGTGGTGAAACACTATTCTGCTTAAATGGTTATGTTTTGATCTGCACTGTTTCGCTGTTATGCCCTCTTTTATCTCAATCTCCACTCTATTATTTACTTTTTTATTTTTATCCTTTTAATTAAAGGAAAAAAATAGCAGGATATATTATAGTAACCCACTTTGACTTTCCATTATCTCAATTTAAAGCCCTGTATTACTCTCACCATCTTGTTTTTGACTGATGTTCCTCTATTCTGTTTTGCTGGATAGTATCAGGTTTGAAAGTTTAAGCAACAGCTGTGAAGATAATGAGATTCATTATAACGCCCATTCTCGTTGACTTTTATCTACTTTTGAAGACCTACAATGTCTCCAATGCTGTGGTTTTGTCGGTTTTATTCTTTACTGTTTTGTTCAATCGTATTATAACTAATGATATAGGCATTTCTATTAGAGATAGCGGGAGACATTATGGTAACCATTGTTGATCACCTTGTATTATGTTTTTACATTATCTATTATGTCCACCCTTTTGACTTGACCGATTCTGTTCTGTTATGTCACATTTGGCTCTACTCTCTTCCAAAAAAGTAATAAGAACCATGGGAGCAATGAAACCCAAAATGTGTAACAGTCATTGTACAAAAGAGAGGAAAAGGAAGTGTTCTAAACTATATAACTGCATGTATATTTAAGTGTATAAGATAGGAAATGATATCACAGAGTTTTATTGGATCATTGAACAGATCTGTTTGCAGTATCATTGTTGGAATGTCCACTTTACAAGCTTTAATTTTGTGACTTGAACAATTATTTCTAAGATGACAATATGTAATCCATTAACTAGTGATTTCCTACTGTTTATTTTTTTTCCTGTAAATCTGTAAACTTGTACCCTTTCTCTGCTTTTTTTTCTTTTCTCCTGAAATAAAATTTAAAAAAAAAGGAAAGAATGTTAGAATAATGTGTACTATTTTAAATCACTGTAGCCTAGTAAGTACCAAATTATATTATTTTCTTGATCTTTAACCAAGGTTTTTTTTTTTCCAATTTAACAGTGGCAAAGTTTCATTAAGGGTAAGAAAAGAAACCGGCTCTGCAAAGAGTTTGGACCAAGTAAAAGTAAGAAAAGAAGCACACTCACAGAGTGAGGGCAGGCCAACTATGTAATAGTTAAGAGTTTTAAAAAATTATCTTTAAGGAATTTACCTGTTGCAATTATGCCATTGTCTGCCTGTGTCAAGGACTGGGCACGGCTACGAAGTTTACTTTTGAATGATCTTGGTCGACGTGGTGATGTCGGTAGCAAAGGAATCTCTGAAGATTCAGCCTTGGTATCTTTAATTGACCGAAGGCGTTCATAGAGCTCCTGCAGTTCTTTATTCTGCTGCGTCTGAAGATTTACCACCTCCTGAATGTGCCTGAATGAAAATTGTTCGGAAAACTTTTTAATGGCTCTGACATTATAAAATTGAACCAAGAAACATTACACTAGTACAAGTAAAGCTTAATAAGGAATTTACATTAACAATGATGACACAGAAAGTATTTTCACAATTTTAGGATTTTCCTAAACATAAACAATTTCCTAAACATAAACAATTTTCCTAAACATAAACTAATCAGTCAAAAAGCAAATTGTCAGTAACAAATCTCTAAAGTGTTGATATAATGGAAGGCAATAAAACATAATTGAAATCAAATAGTTTAAAAGTATTAACTTTTTCTTAGCCAGGCATAGTAGCACATACCTGTAATGCAGCACTAAGGAAGGTTGACATAGGTGGCTCACAAATATTCAAGTCCTACGTTGGCAAATTAGCAAGAGCTTGTTTCTTTTTTGGGGGGTAGATGTGGTTTGAGACAAAGTTTCCCTAGGTAGCTCAGGCTCACCTGGAACTTACTACGTAGCCTACACTTGCCTAGAACTCATAATGATCCTCCTGCTTCAGCTTCCCAAATGCTGGGATGATAGGTGTGCTACCGAAGCCAGGTGAGATCCTGTTTCAAAATAAAAAGGGCTGGATTTTGAAATTTTGTATCGTATTTGTTTTTTCTCTTTAAAATAAAAAAACAATGAATAAAAAGGGCTGGTAGATGTAACTCAGTATAAAGAACCAAGGTTGAATCTATAGCAAGACAAACACACACAAACACACACACACACACACACACACACCCAAAGCCAACAAACAAAAAGCACCACAACAATTATAAATTGCAAGTTTAAAAAGGTATACAATATTTGCAATATATACTAATACCTTAATATTCAGAATATACACATACCTCCTGATAATTTACCAAAAAACTACCTTATAGAAAAAAGAACAAAGAAAATAAAAAGGTGATTGATTCCATAGGAGAGAAAATATAAATAACAATAAATGTGATGATACACAACTTCACTCTTAATCAGAAGAACAAAATTTAATAATTTTTTGGAGATGCAATCTCATGATTTTTCCCAGGCTGATCATGAAAGTCTGTTCTTTCTACTCAGCCTCTCCAGTTGCAGGGATTACACGCCAAGCTAATGAAATATTTCTGATTTATCTGATTGGCATAAATTTAAAAGATCAGTACTATCCAGTCTCTGCTGTTGTTATAATGTGACGAAATAGACAGAAACCTTTCATATATTTTTGTTTGGAATTTAAGATGATACAGCTATCTTGGAACATAATTTTAGCAGTATCAATTTAAAATATATACACCTATTAAGTCAGCAAGTCCACTTTTAAGTATTTACCATACAAAAGTACTCATGGGTATATGAAGATTAATGAAAATATGGTATTTTATGTATAATGGAATACTGCTATGCTATGAAGCAGGATAAATGAGTCAGTAGGAAAATAAATGTATGTTGAATCCATAATGTTAAATGAAATGACACAATTACAGACTGTATGGGTTTTTTTATATGAGGAACTCAAAGTATAAAAAACAGCAAAATAAAACATATACAAGAGGAAACAAGAAGACAAATCCTTTGCAAATGGGAAGGGGACCAAGAGATGAAAAGAGTACTAAAAAAGAACTGAGACATGTCATGTGCATATAGCAACTACCTACAATGAATGTATTCATTATGTTCTGCAAAGATGTACTAATAAAAAAGAATAAATATAGAAGGATATTTATTTTAGCATAGTTTATATAAGCAAAACATTGGTAAAAACTAGTGTCTGTTAAGGAGGGATTAAAGAAACGTGAGTACACATTCATTTAACAGTATGCAGCCATTTTTTAAAAAGGTGTATCTACATGGATAAGATCATAGGCCACAATACTTACTAAGTCACAAAATTTTAATTTAGTTGGAGACTTAGCTCAGTAGCATAATCACTTGCCTGACAAGTGCGAGGTCATGAGTTCAATCCCGGGTACAAAAAAAAATATACTCTAATATGTGCATTATAATCTCAGTTTTGTAAAAGACAGAAACTTTATATTTGTAAATGCACTGAAAAAGGACTAGCAAATTACATACCGAAGAGCTGTCAGTGCTTGCCTCTGAGAAATGAGATTGTGACAAGAAAAAAAATGAGATTCTTTTGTTTTTTTATTTTATTTTTAAATATTTTCCCATATGACACTTTTAAAATTCATATTCTCTCTCTCTCTCTCTCTCTCTCTCTCTCTCTCTCTCTCTCTCTTTCTCTCTCTCTCTCTCTCAATAATAGCTTATTCCAAATAATTTAGGTCTAAAAACAGAGATCATCATTGTGGGCCTACATGATTCTAACCCTTACAATCATTGCCCTGGGTCTAAATTTTTTTTTTTGTACCAGGGATCAAACTTGTGACTTCACGCCTGTCAAGCAGGCGCTTATGCCGCTGAGTTAAATTTCAGACCCTCAAATTTTTTTAGAAGAAACCATAATACCAAAAGAAAACTGAAGACACTATAAAGTAAATTCTTATTTTAGGTGCTAGAAATCGAATCCTTTACCACATTCAGGCTAGTTAATCACTCTACTGTGAGCTATACCCTCATTCACAGAATAAATTATCTGTCATCTTGGGTTCCATAAAATAGTAAGAATCTACATTTCATATTCAAAATAAAGTGCTTCTAACCACTAGAGTCAGGTACAAAATCAACAGTCTTTGACAACAGTTTAAAAGAAACATTAAAAGCAGCAATAAGAGACTGAGGATGTAGTTCAGAGAGCTAGCACTTGTATAGTATGTATGAAGCCCTGAGTTCAATCCCCAGACACCAGAAAGAAAAATAGAAAGTAAAAAGACAAGCCCTGGAATACTAATATCACAAATATTAAACAACTTTAATAACTATTTTATTATAAAAGTATTAATGTATATATATTGCTTAGTATGAACAAATATACAGTAAGCTATATAATTTATAGTATACATTATACATAATATAAAGTCAAGCCTGTATATATATGTAAGAGGTGACTGAAATATACAGTCAATGTTTAAATTTTAAAAATTACTATAGTAAAAGACATATTGCCAAGAATGATGGGATAAGTGTATCTGAAGCAAGAGGGAATACTTTGAGGATTTGGAAAAAGATTAATTGCAAGATATCTTTTATTAAAATAATTTTTTAATTAATTTTTATTTATTTATACTAGGAATTGAACTCAGGACCTTGCCAGAGAGGTGCTTATGCCACTGAGCTGTATCCTCAGAAAATTTAAAATAATTTTTTAAAAATTTTATTTACTTACTTGTATTGGGGATTGAACTCAGGACCTTGCCAGACAAGTGCTTATACTGCTGAGCTATATTCCCAACAATTTTTTTTTCATCTTTTTTCCTTTTTATCGGTACCAGGGATCAAACTCACGACTGCCTGCTTGCAAGGCAGGCGCTTATGCCGCTAAGCTAAATCCCCAGCCCCTCCCAACAATTTTTTATCACACCATTTATATTTAAAATAGAATATCAACCTTCCACTGATGAATGTTTAAAACATACATTTACAAGTTTCTTCCAGGCTCCAGTTAAAAAACACTAACAAAAAAATTTAGAGAAATAACTTGAAGAGAAAATGGTATTGTAATTATGTCTCACTGGATTATCAGTTCTGTATTTGGATTTTCATTTTTTCCTCTAGAAAAGGGTTTCAAATGGAAATTTCTATGGATTTTAACCTGCTTCTAGAAGAATTAAAACAGAACGTCTAAATGCAGCTTCATCTAAACATGTAAGACTATCTGGCTAAAATCTAGCCTTTTCCATATAGTTGCTAGAGTTTTTTTCAACTTTTCATAATAAGGCATAAGGTCATCAGTTGGAGGTCAGTAACTAATGTATGAGTATGTATATATAATGGTATCCTATAGAAAAGTAAAAAATGAAAAATACGATTGAGATCTAAGATACAGTGAAATCGTAAAAGAAAAAGCAAGATAAAAGAACAATCTTTATTATAAGTTACTATTTTGGAGAATACAAACAACAAAATATGCATTTATTTATTTGTACATATACAAACTAATTTTAGATATATTAGAACACAAGTAGCATTTATAGCCTCTATGGATAAAGACTGGGTAGCTTTGGTACACTGGCAGACTCCACTGAATAGTACCTTTTGAATTTTGAAGTATATGATGAACTTAGAAATAATTCACCAATTTAACACTAATTTATTAAAAAATATGACCTAGTTTACCCAGCTAAATACAAAACACCATTCTTCATAACAAAACAGAATCACTAGTGAAAGCTGATGATCTCATTCATCAAATAATAAGATAGATTTTGGAGCAACCTTCCCTTTTCTTAAAGAAGATGAGTTACTATTTCTCCCTATATACATTAGCCATTTTAAAAATCAAATGTGTAATTATGTAATAAGAATAAAATTCTAATCCAAAAGCCCTGAAAGATAATGATTGAAAAATTCAACAAAAGAATAACTAATTCATATTGGCAAATAACCAACTGTACTTAATCTTTAAACTATGAAAATATTTCATATAAAAAGATTTTAACATGCACAAAATGTCTCACATTAGCATTTTTTATAGTTTTCAATCATAAAAAAGTTTTAATCATTAAAATATCATCGATCCTAAATTGGCTACCAATTGAAATTAAGTTCTATAAAACCTTGGACAATCAAATTTATAACAGAAGAAAAAGAATTCTTACTTTTCTCTTAATCTTTGAAGCTCCACTTTCAAGTCTTCATCTTCTATTTCTGACTCATCATCACTGCTCATTGGTGAAGATGGAGAATAGAAGAGTGAACTATGTGTTTCAGCATATGCTTGTTCATGGAGTGGTAAGCATTGGTTACTCTCTGGACCAGTTTTTTCCACAACATTTTCATTACCAGCCAGGTTGGCTAAAAATTCACTATTAGAACTAAGCTGTTTCCCACCAGTTAGTATCTCTCTTTCTATGCTATTTCTCGTGGCTGAAATTTCTTCTAATTCTTTTTCTGGGCTCACTGAAGATACATCAGTCTCACAAGCTGTGCTTAAAGGTAAGAAGCTGTCAATTTGTTTGGGAATTCCTTTATTTTCTTTAAAGGTTTTGTGAAGAGTTTGTAACTTCTGAGAAGAAATGGAAGTCTGAAGATTTTGTGTGGTAGTTTCCACTTCTACCAACTGAGACTTTGCAGCTGCAGAAAAGACGAGTGCTTCTTCACTAGACTGCTTGTCCTTGAATACTGCTGGTCTGTATTCTATTCCAAAAGATGTTGCTTTCACTGACTGTTGTTGAGGAACTGTGATTACCTGAGGTATAAAAAGGTAAAAGTGTCTGGCTCCACCTAACCAAAAGATAAATCTCAAGAAAAATTCAATACCAATATACAGCATAGACAAGTGGATGGTCTACTGAGATGCACATATACTGGTAGTATTAAAAATGAAAAATACAACCATATTTTCAGTATTCAGTCTTGTATTTGGGCTCCTTGAATAAACAGAGTTGGTTTTATATTAATCAAAAAATTCCACAAAGTTGCTAATATTGTAAAGGACATGAAATTAAGTTTATAAAACAGATCTCCCACCCATCAAAAAATGATGACCATTTCTATACTCTCTTTTAGCTAATAAAATTCCCATTTCTGTAGAATCTCTTTTACAAATGGCTTCAAAAGTTAAGATGCAAAGTGAACAATTTAAAGATAAAAAGATCTATATTTAAAGTATCATCTACAGACCAATCTTTAAATACTGTTACTTTTTTTTTTCAATGCTGGAGATAGAATCAAGGACTTCACATGCTGAGCTAGGCAAGTGTTATACCACTGAACTATAGCCCCAGCCATGCTGTTAACTTTTATAAGGCCTTTCTAAATAAAGATTCAATCAAAGACACAAACCTGGAACCGACCCCGCTGAAATGATCCACTCATCGCTTTACATCTACTCAAAGCCCTAGTATCGGTTGTGGACTCCCGTGTCAGAGGAATAGGATCAGGAGCAATTGCTGATGTTATATCTTCTGTTTCCACTGTAAGTTTTGTCAAATTTTAAGCATAAAAGAGAAAATTTCTTATTAAAACTAAACATGCTAAATTACCAAAAATGAAGAAAAGTAGAAAAAGTTTAACTCTGGCTAGACATTTAAAAAGTGTAAATGTAATAAGCAACATTGTATAATTCCCTGTCTAAACCAGACATTGTAAGATTTATCCCAAGACTTAGTATCTGTATGAAATGAGTAACTGCAAAATCAAATTAGTTACAAAAGGAAAAAATAAAATGGCAATGACATTAATGGGGGCATGTCACATACACGGGCTATGTGAACAAAAAAATAAGTAAATGAAAAGTGATGTTACCTAGTCAGTGTTCCTGACTGTAAGCACACTACCTTGATGGACTTTTGATCTCTTGAAAAAGCTGGTTGACTGCCGTAGCCTGTATGCCCAGCTTTTTAATTTGCGAGTCCAGGATTTCTTGCTAATAGGATTTTTGAGACTAGGACAAGTAAAGCTTAGGCCAAAATATCCACCTCCTGTCTGCAGATGAATGGTTCCACCACTTGACACAGCAGCAGGATAGGCCTCTAGATCCCCTGGAAGTGAAGCATCTGGAGACATCTCCTAGTGGAGATTAAAAAAGGATAAAAAAACAAAGTAGTAATAATTTAGGTAATGTGGAGAATTTTTTTAGTATATTGGAATGTGGTTTGTGGACTAATTATTAATCAAAACTAGGATACTATGTATATCTGCATTAATGGTACTATATCAGACTGAACTTGAGGTATTCAATTTGTATTGATTAAATCTTCCAAATTTCTTTAAAAATATTATTCAGACATCAGATGAATAAAAGAACAAAATATTAATCTCCCATGCCAGAACATTTTTCATCCCCATGCCAACTCCAAACACTGAAAATTAAAACAAAATTTCCTTCATATATGCCATTTTACTAAAAAAGTTACTGAAATCTCATGGTATTAAAATGAAATATTTATTTATTCTCATATTATTTAAGAGAGTTAAAGATTCCTGCCACACACAACAGAAAAACAAACTATCTAAGGCACTTAGAGTAAAAGAGAAATACCAGTAATGAAGTTTCTTACTTTATGTAAGCACAGAGAAATTTATAAATGAACTAAAAATTATTTTAAGTTCATTCTCTATAAATTGAGATTATGAGGCAATGCTGGCTATAAAGTCAATCTCTTCTTGTCCTTGTACCCAGATCCCCTCAAAAAATCCTAGAATTAACTGTTGTATTTTATTGACTTCTTTAAAAATAAATTTACTATAATAATTAATATAAAAACTAATATATACAACCACAAATACTTTGGAAAACATGAGAGTGGTTACTAATAATCTACATGTTTAAAAGTGAATACAGGACCAGGGAATAGCTTAGCAGCATGATGCTGGCCTAGTGAGTATGAGGTCCTGAGTTCAACTCCCAGTTCAAAAAAAAAAAAGTGAATACAAAAGCAAAAAGAACAGGATTTACCATTTTGTCTGAAGGAAGACAGCCTATATGACAATAAGCATACACAGTCTTGGGTAAGCATTATTAACACTAGGACAGAAAGGGGGTTATTGAAAGTAAAATTCTGTGCAGTCGGCTTTTATTTTACAGAAACTCATTTTGGATTGATAATATCACCTCAGTCAGGGGAAAAAAAACCCTTCTGAATCATTACAATTTTAAAAGTGTTTCACTGGCCCACTAATATTATAGCTAAGATTTTCATTATGTAGTAACTGGATCAAGATGGCATATTTAATGTATATTTCAGTCCCACTTATCAATTCAAATCACCAAACATAACAAAAAACAACAAATATGGGCATAAGTACATATGAATTAAAAAAGAAAAATTAGACCATAATATATGTAGGAACTGTTTCAAAATGCTATGAACTAATAAAAAAAGAAATGGAAAAACAAACAAAAATGCTGCAAACTAAGATGAGAAAGATGAGCAATAAGAGTGAGCCCTGACCCATCCAAAGGATGAATCATTAACTGCTTATAAAATTGAACACACTCTATCCTCTGTTTCTTAATGTTACCTCTTAATATTCTTCTACTTACTGGCATTCTTTTGGTTACTTGAACAAATCTTCATTATGTCACTACCAAAAATCTTTCCCTGACAACTCAATGTAGAGTAATCCCCTAATCTCAGCGCTTTACTTCTATTACTTTATTTGTTTAGGGGCTGTTTCCCTCAACTAGAATGTGAGCTCCACAAAAATAGAGGTTTTGACTTATTCACTGCTCAACAGATTATCAGTGTATGGAAGAGTGCACTGAATGGGGTACAAAGAAAAGTCATTTAGTTCTTTCCCTTCCTTCCCCACCTCCACACAAGCAAAAGACCACAGACTATCTTCCCCTAAATAAGAATAGCAAGAATAAATGGTTTGTGGCCAAGAGAAACGTCAGCATAGAGAGGAGATAACATCCAGGAGGAAGATAAAGCTCTCCTGCCCTTAAAAACTACCTACTAGGCCACACTACAGGGAGCATTAGAGACAAGTTAAAATACAAATGTCAGTGAGCATGTTGTATGCTTTTCCTACAATTACTGTAGGAAGGCTATAGTGATTATATATAGCATTTATAGACAGACAAACAAGAATCACTTTTTGTTTTTTGAGACAGGGTCTCACTATATTGTTCAGGCTGGCCTTCAACTATGTAGCCCAGGCAAGCCTCGATCTCATGGTGCTCCTCCTTCTTTTGGCATTCCAAGCACTAAGCTTACAGGCATGCACCACCAGACCTGGCTAAGCAGGGAATCTTATGGGGGGAAAAGAAAAGGTGAATACACAATTAAGAATAACCACACACAGAAATTCAACACTTTAAGAAAATATCAAGCATGAACAGAGGAATAGCCAAGGAAATAGCATTCAAAACACAAAATAAGATCTTAATATTTCCAGAAGGATGTATGAACATATGGTCATTCGTTGTATAACAACATTTTGGTCAACAACGTATTGCATATATAACAGTAACCCCATAAGGTTATAATGGAGGGTTATAATTACTATTGCTTAGTAATTTATTGTACCTGTTCTAAGTTTAGATACACAGATATTTATAATTGTGCTACAATTGTCTATAATATTCAATACACTACCATGAGATAGAGGTTTGCAATATAAGAGTAATAGGCTGTACAATATAGCTTGGATATACAGCAGGCTATATATCTAGGTTTAAGTGCATTCTGTAATGTGCATGCCAATAAGTACCCTAACAACACATTTATCAGAATGTATTTCTGTTGCTAATTGACATGTGATTGTACTAGATCTATAGGAAAAATAATGAACTACAGTCACTAGAAATGAAAAGGTATAATCTTTGATACAAAAAGAGCTGAGTAGAGACTGCAAACAGCTTAAAAATTGAGAAATTCACCAGTACAAAAAGTAAAAGAAGAAAGTGATGAAAAGCAACATATGAAAAGTTAATAAATTAAAAGAAAAACAGGCCGGGGATTTAGCTCAGTGGCATACGTGCCTGCCTGGCAAGTGCAAGGTCATGAGTTTGATCCTCAGTACCAAAATATAAATTAAATAAATAAATAAATGAAAAATAATATAAAAATATAAATAAATTTCTATTAACAGATGAAGAAATATACTATATACAGAAAATTCAAAAGAAATCCACCAAAAATTTACTTTTTAAAAAAAGAAAACTTTGAGAGAGTGTTTCTCTGTATAGTGCAGGCTGGCCTTGAGCTTACTATGTAGCCCAGGATAGCCTCAAACTTGTGACACTTTTACTGTCTCAGGCTCTTGAGTGCTGGGACTATAGGTATACATCACTACACCCAGCTCTACCACCAAGAACTATTAGAGCTAATAAACTCAGCAAATTTGAATGATATAACATCAATAATAAAATCAGTTTTATTTTTACACATCAGCAATAAAAAATCCAAAAGAGAATTTGCTATGGTCTGAATGTCCCCATCAAAATGAGAGATAGAGGAGAGAGGAGGGAGGAGAGGAAAGAGAGGAGAAGGGAGAGGGGAGAGGGGAGAGAGGAGAGAGGAGAGAGGAGAGAGAGACTCTGAGACTTAAAGGGAAAAGGTTAAGAAAAGATATGGAGTATGATTCAATGGTACGGTCCCATCCTCAAGATACCTTATTAAGAATATGCAAATAAATATTCTAAAATTCAAAAAAATATTCAAATCAGAAATATTTCTAATCCCTAGCATTTCAGATAGGGGACATTCACCCTGTAAAATTTTGTAAAATGTCACAGAATTAGGATTATTTTTACCTTTTATTTCCAAATCAACCCTCCAGCATGATTAGCTTAATACTTTAATTTTTTTATTTTTGTAATACTTTAAAATTTTTGAAGCAGACACTGAAAAGACTTTCTTGTTCAACAAAAAATGGAAAAGTAAGTTTTTCCTATCCATTATCAATTTCTTTTCTACCATTAATACACAGACATTGTTTCAAATTCCTAGCTAATTCACCATAGGGCTGTCTTACTCATGACAGATCTGCCATCTGCACTAAGAAATTTTGAGTACCTGTAACCTAAGTTATGACCTTTAAGTACTTATGATCTCAGAATCTCGTAACATAGATAATTTCATTTCACAGGACCAAATTTTAAGAAAGGAAGTTCCTTAAAATAAAAAGCAAATAAGGAATTAGGATGAATGATACTTACATGTAAACATAATTCGCTGGGTACAGAAGTTATCACATTCAAGTCCCTTTCGAATACCGATATGCTAGCAGGCTGACTCGCAGCCACACTGCACAGAATTTTAGAGGCTGCCTGTTGGAAATTAGGAGATGGTGCAGGGCTATCTTGGATTCCACAGTGACTGATGGCTATGACTTCTGGCATTGTACAGGAAAGTGTGTCTTCAGCAGAAGAAGAAAATGGAGAGTCTATGCTTTGGGTATCCTTCTGACTCTCAGAATAGATGCTAGAGGTGTTGTGCTCCTGATAGAGCAAGTTTCTTAATTTTTCATCCAGAGTTTTAATTCGGTTGTCTGCAAACTCCATTTTTGGAGGTCTTTCCCCATCTGATTCCAAAAGAGTAATGGGTACAAGGGTAGTTGCTTCAAGGCTAGGGGTCTGAGTGGGAATGACTGCCTTAGGAGAACTTGCTTCAGTATTCACTGTTGTTTCTTTCTCTTGGGAAATAAATTCTGCATCAATAGCTGGCTGTTGTACTGATAAGGACTGAGGTTTTTGATCACACAAAAATGCTGAAGTTGTAACAATGTTATCGGTAATCTGAGCTGATTCACCAGAATGGGCCATGAGCACATTAGCTTGACTGAAAGCTTGATGACATGGATATACAGGTATGAACATACCTGTTTGGCTGGTGAGCCCATCACGTTTGACTGCAGCTGTACAAACTGAAGTAGCAGAATAAGCGGAACTACTAGTACTTGGTGCCATTATCTGCCTGTCATCTTCCGTTGGATAAAGTATAGCTGGCTGCTCAGTTTCTACACTAGCACATTCAGAAATCTTACCATCCACTAAATTCTTCTGTTCTGATTTGGAGGTGAAAAGTGCACGCTGGCATGAATTATTTTCTATAGTGAGTAGTGTGTCCTGTGATATTTCTTTATTATTTGTGTTTCTTGAGCCTGAAACAATAACAAAGGAATAGCTAAGTATCTACTAATAAGTAAAAACCATGGAGTAGTACCAAGCTGAAAAGTAATGTGAAAAGCAAGAGACAAATGAGAACCTGTGTGAAAACTACTTTTGTAAGTAAGACTCAAAATATCACAGAATTCAACTGGTAAAGAAAAAATATTCTTTACTTTTTTCATAAATATTTAAAAACAAGTAAGGTATATACTAAAATAAATGCTTTCAAAAATGCTTATGAAGATTGTCATAAACACACAATACCCATGATAAAAAGACAGTTATGGTATATACTTTGCATACATATCTTCTGAGTCTGGATAAAGCTGGGAGAGAATGAAAGCTTACAAGAAAATGGATGTAGCTCAGGAACTGTAGCCACTGAAGGCTGAAGAGGAGACTGAGCTTCACGATTTCTAATTGTTTGATTGATACAAAATCGCCATCGACCAACTGGGGATGACTGAGGAGCAGATTCATCTGTAGAAAGAATCAGCAAAATAATTAATATGCTAAGACCAGGGAGCAGATTCATCTGTAGAAAGAATCAGCAAAAAATTAGTATGCTAAACAACTATCAATTTATTTGCCTTATTTATTAAGGAAACCAGATTTAAAAATCAATTTGGTATCTTTGTTTCCAATAATACTACAATAATATCTCCCAATCTTGACAAATAATCTAAAGAGCTAAGCACACGGTATCTATCAAGAGTAATTACAATCAAGACACTCTATAGTTTTTTGGGAAAAAAACTAGAAAACATTTTCCATTAAAACCTGTATCTCAAGGCGAGAGGATTATGAGTTTGAGCCCAGATAGAACAAGATAGCAACCCAGCGACACACTGTCTCCAGTGGAAATGTAGCTCAAAGAGAACACCCTAGGTTAAGTCCCCAATGCAACAAAACAAAACAAAAATGAAAACACCCTATGCTGCCTGTTATACATCCTGCTAATCATGGTACTTAAATCAATAATAAACATTGATATTTACAAAACTACGCATTAGAAGTTAATTTTACTGTATGACAATATAAACAACGAAGTAAACAATTCCTTACATTTTAATATCTACTCTGTAAATTTAAGTAAGTTTCTTTTAAACTTTACCCTCTGCTTTGTCAGTTAGATATCTGCTCAGATCTCTACTAATCAGAAAAATAAGATACAGAAAGACTCTGGCATCCTAACACAGTCAAACTAAAGTTTAGACAACATGTGGATCCATTACTCTTATACCACCTTTTGCTTCCTCATGCTGTTAAAAGTCTTTTTGAAGTTTTTGTGTGTCTATGGCTCCTCTCCCCCTCCCAGACACTATTTATACACTCATAAGCAAAGCTGAGAAGAATACAGAGATTACATCATCCAAAAAGAAAATACAAGAGTCTCAGTTTTAGTATCTATATATATAACTGGTAATTGATTTATAAAAAGTGATCACAGTCAGTAGGAGCATTATTATTTGTGGGATAAAAATCAAGATATCAATGACTACTAAAACAAAAGGCAAATTTAGAACATGCCAATTCTATTTAAGAAACTTTGTATCCATCTTATATCAAAAAAGAACAACTTACCAATTGTTTCAAACAGGACATTAAAGGTCATCAGTACTGTGACTGCTTTTCTGGTAACATGTCATGCAACAACCCAGAAACAAGTTAATCAGATAAAGAACCCACACTTCAAGGAAATTTGGAGAACTGATTCTTACCTCTGAGCTACATAGTCCTTTCAAAGTGTGGAAAAATAACCCACTTATCAAATTATTGACTAACATGTTTTTCAATGAAGGTGTGTAAATTAAGTTTCCAAATGTTTTGCTTCAAAAGTAAAACTATAAATTTTAGTAAATATACTTACTGCTGGTTTGAGTGGATGCAGAATTTATCTGTACTTGTTCAGATGATCCTGTCTGAATTAAAAATGAATAGATAAATAATGAAGTTCCTAACATATATCAAAAAAGACATACTTATTAAGCAATTGCTCTTACTTGGTTACTGTTGAATTCCAAGGTAACAAAGTCAACTCCCATGGATTTTTCTGCAGCAGAATGGACATGAAGAATCTCCTGGGCTTGACCTACAATAGCCCTCAATTCTTCCACAAATTTTTCCTTCTCATTTTCCAGTACAAAGTTATCTTCAACCTGGCCCAAAATAAAAGTCAGTCTATTCACAAGATTTAATTTAGAGTCTTCAAAATTATAATCTGTATTAATGCTGATTACCATAAAGAAAAAAAAGTTATTTAAATCCAAGTGCCATAGACCACCAATGAAATGTCATTGTTAGACTGGTACAATCTGTAAGAAGCCCGTATTTTTCAAAGTATCTGGAGTTCTATAAGTTGAGTGTCATTTAAACAATGTAACTGAGGCACTGTTTAAAAGCAGGATTCCAAACCTAAAAAATTATAATCCACAAATAACAAAATGAAGCATCTTTAAAGATGATAATGCCTGGTGGTACTGCCTATCATTTCAGCATTCTGAGAGGCTGAGGCAGGAGATTCGCAAGTATGAGCTCAGCGTAGGCAACTTGGCAATTTAGTAATACTCTCTCAAAAAAAACTTAAAAATGCTGGAGAAGAGGCATGCAGCTCAGTATGAAGGCCTTGGGTTCAATCTCTAGTACCACAAAAAGCAAAGATAATAAATGATGGTACACAGGCCTTTAATTAAGCTTACTATGCATAAAAATATGAAAGAAGTGAAATTTCAGAAAATACTGTTAGCGATATAACTGATAAAATTATTATTTATTTATACTTAGGAATGCAGCAATGCAGAAACAAAAACAGTTTGTAGAGGGCACAGACAGTTATCCCCAAAATAGCAGACTATACCATGGTAACTATTCTTTTTTTTTTTTTTTTTTTTGTCTTTTTTTTTAATTTTTATCGGTACCGGGGATTGAACTCATGACCGCCTGCTTGCAAGGCAGGTGTTTATGCCGCTGAGCTAAATCTCCAGCCCCAATGGTAACTATTCTTAATTTCCTATTAACTTAAACTGAAACCCTGTATTACTAACATTGTCTTACTATGACTGATCTTATTTGAATCTGGTTTGTTAGACCGCTGTTTTACCTTGACTGATTTTATTCGAATTTGGTATGCTTGATAGTATCAAGTCTAAGAGCAGAGGCAACTACTCTGAAGATGACAAAATGTAATAAGATACCCATTCCGGTTTGATTATTAACTGCTTTTGAAGTCCTACAATGTCTCCAAAGTTGTGTTTTTATTAAAATAGCTATGTAATGCTATGTGCAATTATACTATGTCTGATGATGTGGATAATTCTATTGAAAACAACAAGAGACAGCATAGTTAACTACTGTAGATCACATAATATTGTAGTTCTATATGTCTTTTTCATTTCATGTTTTTCTATGAATTTGTTTTGTTGTCCTATGATCTGTTTTTCCCTATAATACAGAAAGGATAGATATACATGTAGAGATTCACACATGGGGAGAATTTCTAAACCGTTTATGGGAACAGATTATATAATGCACCACGTAATGAACAGATACTCTGAAAAAGAAGAGACACTAAGAAACCCAGTGCTAATTCTGTAACATTATGATATAAAATCTAGGAAGACTATTATTCACTGTTCAGAGTGGTATTAGTTTAGTCTCTTATGTTCAATTTCAGAGTACGTAAAGATAAGGACAGCTACTACGAAGAGAATGAGAGACATTATGGAAGTCGTTATTGACTTACCCAATGTCAGGTCTTAAAGACCTAAAAAGCCTTCATCATCCTATTCTGATTAGATTAGTTCTGTAATGTTCAATATGTATTCAATGTGTGTGAAGATGGGGACAACTGTTTGGAAGAAAACTAGAGACAGTAAGATAGACTGTGAAGATCTCCAGTGGACTTGTTTTGAAATCTGTGTTCCTTAAAATTGTTTCCTTATGATCCGTTTTGTTCTGTTTTGTTATGTTTAATCTTACCCTCTTTATAATAAAAAAATTAGAAAAAAACAAAAAGTTTGCGCTCTGTATGTCAAACTAGTTATATCCCTATTTAAAAATTTTAAAATGCTAATTTATTCCTAACTATTCAAAGAAAAATTTAAAAACTAAGTGAGAACATAATTTGAGTATTTACATGAATGATGTTACATCACTGGCTAACACAGTAGAATTACTTGAGGAGCTTGATAAACTATTGATCTTAGGCTTCACTCCAAAAGATCCTGATTTTTGTTTTTTGAAACTGAGAATCAAATTCAGGACCTTGTGCTAGCCACGAAGGCATCGTGCTGCTGAGCTATACCCCGACCCTGAAAACATCCTGATTTAATCAGGCATTTGTGCAATAAAATTATGGTTAAAAAGCTCATCAATGATTTTAACAAATATTTCAAAAAGAATATGCTCTCTAGGGGCTGGGGGTTTAGTTCAGCAGCATAAGCGCCTGCTTTGCAGGTGTGTGATCGTCAGTTTGATCCCTGGTACTGATAAAAAAGACAAAAAAAAAAAAAAAGAAAAAAAATATAGTCTCATATTTTCCAGATAAATATACTGAAGCTAGAGAATAGGCAGTAAGTTATTCCTAGTCACAACCAATTTGGCTCTGTAAAGATTTTAAAAACTAACCATGTCCTATAAAAAGAAATGGCTCTGAATAAATGAAGGGGGAATTAGAGAAAATAAAGAGACAAAGAATGCTAAAGAAAAAATAATTTGATTTTACTATACTTACCATATAGTCTGCAATATCCTCTGGTGCATCACCATCAACATCAAACTTGAAGGTAACCATCTTGTTGTTATGAGTCTCCAGCTGACACTCTACCATATTGTCTCCAGAAGTTGAAACCTAAGCATACACATTTCATCAGCTTAAGACTCACTGTCTTTTCTTTATAAATTATGTAGGGACTATCTAGATCATTTCACATGCTATGTATGTGGAAATGATTTAAATACTTGAGAATCAGAAAAAATAAAACAGATAAAAATACTTCAGAGTCATTTTTTCCTTGATTTTATGAGACAGGGTCTTGTTATGTAGTTCAGGCTAGCCTTTGAACTTGTGGTGATCCTCCTGCCGCAGCCTACCATGTGCTAGCATTATAGTTATAAACTACCATGCCCAGAAATCCTTCAGATTCTTCAGATTCTAGCAACATTATGTTTTACCTTGGCTATCACCTAAACAGCTATTCCACAGTAAACTTAATAGAAACAAAGAATTTGTTAAAAAAAAAAGTCAGAAATATAACCCTGTGGGAAAATGGAACAAAACTTCTATAACAAAATTTTTTACAAAATTCACTATAGCAGTGTGTAACACAATAACTAAATTCAGTCATTCATTTATAAAATTGTCTTATTCTAGTGACAAGGATTTAGAAATTTATGAAAGCTTCATGTTTTTGTTGCTGGAGATGGAACCCAGGGTCTTGCATATGCTAAGCATATGCTCTACCCTTGAGTTTCATCTCCAGCCTCCAAATTTTCATACTCTTTAATCTACTAATTTTACTTCTAGGGATGTATCATAAGGAAATAAAAAGGAATAGATGCAAGAACTTTTGTTATAGGATATTTGGTTCAGAAGAGAGAGAGAGAGAAAGAGAGAGACAGAGAGACAGAGAGAGACAGAGACAGAGAGAGAGAGAGAGAGAGAGAGAGAGAGAGAGAGAGACCGACCCAGAAAGACATACAGACAGAGAATAGAGGACAGAAAGTTAGGAAATGAGATTGGCAGATAGAGACAGACTAAAAGGATGAAAAATAGGACTCCTCATACAAATGACTATCTAATGCAATCACTTAAAATGTTAATTAAAAGTAATTTGATATAGGAAAATAACATTACATATTAAACTTTTAAAAAGATAGGATATAAAATTGCATGTAGGTTTATACAGTCACTGGAAATGGGTATCATACTGACTTGAGATATGGGCTTTAACATCTGATCTAAGTTTAGATCTCCCTTGATCACTTGCTAGTTAAACGATCTTAGGCAAATTATTTCTATGATATGCAATATCATTTATAAAGATGAGTATACCTCTACCTATCATACAGAGCTTTGGGAGGACTGCATGATAAAATGGACGTGTGATAAAATGTCATTTAGGGTGCCTACCACAGAAGAATTCAATACATTTTTGCTACTAGACTAATCTTGTTACAATCCTAACAATGTAACATACTACACATAGGTACAGGAAAAAAATGAGAACAAACTAAAACGTTAGCAGGAGCTAGCTCTGAGTGGTGGTTATAAGTGAAACTTATTGTCTTCCTCATATTTATCCTATACTCTCCAAGTTAAATAATTAATATATAATACTCCTCTCAGAAATATTTCAATGGAGGAAATGTTACTTTACAGAGAGTTCCATGATACTCTACATCTGGTTCCTCGGTATTGCTTCTCTCTGGCCCTCCAGGTCCTCTACATGTACAGCCCGTAACCAAACCATACCTACACACTGACCTGAAGAACAGTAAGCTGAAATTTAGTCCCTTTCTCTGGTCGGGGACAGGAAGCTCTTCTTTGTTTGATCCGATCCTGTTTGCCATTTCCACTTGGATTATCAAGGTTATAGATGTTTTCTTTCATAGCTGTCATATCTTGATTCAAGCTAATAATTTAAAAAAAAAGTAACTAATCCAAATCTTGATAGTAAAAATCTAAGAGAAACTTCCAATTATAAAATTATAAATTATGTTTACAGAAAAAGTAATAGTACAATATATTTTTAAAGTTATGATTAAAGAACTCTATGAATATAATAATGCTATTGAATCATATATTTTAAATTAGAAAATTGTGTAATATAAAAACTATATTTAAATAAATTTATTTTTTCCTGCAGTACCCAAACCCCAACCTTTGCCCTGGGCTAATCCTCAATCCTTTTATTTTAAGACAGGGTGTTGCTAAATTCCCAGGCTGGGATTGAACTTGTGATCTGCCTGACTCGGCCCCCTAGAGTACTGGGATGATAGGTGAGCTGGCTTTGGGCATCTCACCTCAGCATCCCGGGAGGCCAAATCAGAAAGATGCATAAATTTGAGGCCTATCTGGGCAATTTAGCAAGACCTTGTCTCAAAATTAAAAAGAAGAGTTGGAGTATAGCTCAGTATAAAGGACCTACGTTTAATCCCCAGTAACTGACCCCTGACAAGATACCTTTTTTCAAATAGATATTTTTAAAATTAACTTTCAGGTAAGCCCTTGTAAAATTCATTCATAAAGCAAGTGTATAAAGATACACAAAAAGATTTTTTTAAAACTCCTAATTTTGTTTATATAAACACAAGTGGTGGATTAATATTTCTCCCTAAGGGATATAGGGATGTGGCTCAGTGATAAGAGTGCTTAGCTAGCATGAGGCTCTGGTTTCTATGCTCAGTACTGCCAAAAAATTATTTAAATAATACTGACCCTAAAAGTTTTTAATACACAGAGACATGGCAGTAACATCTATAGAGTAAGAGAGAGACATAATTTTAGCCAATGGAGCTATATTGTATATATTTAAAAGTAAACATAAAGGGGGCTGGAGATTTAGCTCAGCGGCATAAGCGCCTGCCTTGCAAGCAGGCAGTCGTGAGTTCGATCCCTGGTACCGATAAAAACGAAAAAAAAAAAAAAAGTAAACATAAAAAAACATTTTATTTGGGTTTGGGTCATGATGGCAAAAACTCAGCTTTCCCTGCTTGTTACCCTTAAGTACAGCTAAAAGAAACCTGAAACTACATAATACAGTAAGCAATCACACGAGGGCACTGAAAATGAAAAGAGGAAAGCACAGTGCAGGGATCCCCAGAGCTTGAAAAACTACAGCAGTTTGTCATCTCCCAATTCCCACCCTGTGACAGAAGGTAGTCAAGGCTCAGGATCGTTTGACTCTCAGTCAAGGTGCAAGCAGTCTAAATACATTCTCCTGACTCCCAGCACAAAAGGAGAAGATGGCTTCAACAGGCCTCTCCCTTCCCTAGTGGCACTAGAATGAGCCTCAACAGTAGAATGTGACCTGGAATGTAGGCCCAGAGAACTCTCTACACTTTGGTTCCATAGTGAGGGATAGTGGAGCCAGATGAACCAAACATACCAGAACAGCCCAAGCATTCTTAAAACTAAATTGTCACTGGACTCACATCCCATGAAAATAGGCCAGGACCTGTGCACCTCAACAGAGTGAATACATTCTAAAATAGAGGAGATTTAAGTAGGATCCAAAGGCATATAATATTCAAAATGCCCATGATATAAATAAAAATAAATTCTCCTGATACCAAAAATCAGGAAAATTATCACATGGATGGAAAAATACCAATCAATCGGTGTTAACACCAAGATGAATCAGATATTGTAATTATCTAAAAGGATATTAAAGCAGCCATCATCAAAATGATTCATTTAAGACCTGAGGATGTTGCTGGCTCAGTAGTGGAGTCCTTGCTTGTACGCATGAAGCTTTGGGTTCAACCCTCAATACCACAAAAAAAGCTTCAATGAACAATTACATATATTGTTGAAGCAAATGAGGAAAATCAAATTTCATCAAATAGAAGATATTAAGAAAAAAGCCAAATGAAAATTATATAAACATATAATCAGAAAATTTTTTAAAAGTCACTGAATAGGCAAAGGGATACAAATGTAACAAACAGGACAAAGGAAATAATCAGTGAACTTAAAGACAAAATAATAGAAATTAGAACAATGTACGAAAAATACTAGTTTACAGCTACCAAGTAATAAAACAATTGTATATTTTGTTCTAATATATTACTTTGGACTAGCTAGACTTTTATTCTAAATTGTATTATTTCTTTATTTCCTTGTTTTCTTTTGTGGCACTAGGGATTGACCCAAGACCTTCACACTGAGCTATTTTCCTAGTCCTTTTGAAATGTTTTTATTTTGAGACGGACTCTTGCTAAGCCAAGAAATTGCCCACGTTGGGCTTAGATTCTCTGGCCTCAGCCTACCAGAGTGTTGGGATTCTAGGTATGTACCACCATACCCAGCTCTTGGTTCCATCTTAAAACTTCTAATCCTTCTTACAGTTGGATACTATAGACTAAGAAAATGTCAATAATTTAAAAATCCATACTATCTATATCTTTTTTTTTTTTTTTTTTTTTTTTGGTACCAGCAATTGAACTCATGACCTCATGCTTGCCAGGCAGGTGCTTATGCCGCTGTACTAGACCCCAGCCCCTTATATTTATATCTTAAAAGTAAAAAATAATGCCTACAATTTTTATTAAGCCTGCACACAAATATAAGAACACAGAAGCTTCCCTAGTGGAGATACTTTAAGCATCTAATTACTGCATACACTTCAATATACGCTGCATTTCTTAATACTTACCTTCGAACTAAATCTGGTTTTTGAAGAGCTGCTTGTTGTTCAACTCCAGCCAATTGGGATACAGCCTATAAGTAGTAAAGAAATATTGAAGCTAACCATGCAATTTGCCGCTATTTCAAAAAACAGAATTGTTACATTTCAAATTTTGGTAACCTTGCAAGACAGAACATCTTTATTATTGAATGTCTGTATCAGTCTTATTATTTATAATATTACTTAAGATGAAAATACAGCAATGTATCAAAATATATCATATTTTTCAATGAAAAATTAGCATTGTTTTATTTACTTTTGTTATTTTTCAACAGAGAATATTATTGAGCTTCCAATCCTGCTTGTAAAATTGCTACTTAAAAGATGGTATACTACCATTCCACAGTAAGATAAACCAATGACTCAAGCTTCCATTAAAAGTATGTAAATACCAGGCCAGGCATATAGCTCAGCAATACAGTGCCTGCCAGGGAAGCCCAAGATTGTGAGTTCGATTCCTGGGACCAAAAAAGAAAAATGTGCTCTTTTTTTTGTACCGGGGATCAAACTCACAAGGCAGGTGCTTATACCAATGAGCTAAATCCCTGGCTATCAAAAAAGAAAAATGGAAATTCTGGGTGTGGTGCATTTCTGTAATACCAATACACAGGAGGCAGAAGGATCACTATGAGTTTGAGGCTATCCCCGGCTACAAAGTGAATTCATAGCCAGCCTGAACTGCAAAGTGAAACTTTGTCTCAAAAAAAAAATGAGAGACAAGAATGTAAATAACAATACTGTTGCAAAATAATTTTAAGTATTTGCCTAATCTATCCTCTATGTATTGTCACTGGTGACAGCACAGAGGGATCTTAGAATGCAAACTTAATAAAAGAGATCATTTCCCTAACTAGTTATATTCTCTATGATGGTTTCTCATCCTTTAAAAAGTTAAATTCTTTCAGGTGGAAAATAGTCCTTGATGAAGTGGTTTTTTAATCTCTTTGCTTGATTCTCTATTTTCACCACTCTTCTTGAAACTACATTAAACTGTACTTCCTCTGCATGAGTTGGGACATTCCATACACTATGTCTCTATGTTCCTCTACTTCCCTTGATTTTTTTTAACCTCTTTTTAGTCCTATGCACTTGGCAAATATCTGGACAGAATTTCTATATCAAAGCCTTTATGCCAGTGTGTTCCAGAAACAGCAAAATTGTCCTGGGGACTCAACTTGGCTTTTAGTTTTGTCAAAGAAGGCAATGTATAATTTTTTATTTTTATTTTTTTGTCCCAGGAATCAAACTTACAGAATTAAAGTATTCTGAAGAAAGATTGAAGACATGAGAAAATGAAAAGATGTCCCTTGCTAATGGATAGGTAGAACTAATATTGTAAAATGGCCATACTACCAAAAAATGTATATAGATTTAATTAAATTCTAGTAAAAATACCATCAGCATTGTTCACAGAACTAGGGAATAAGATAAAATTCATATGGAATCAGAAGAAACCTAGGATAGTCAAAACAATCTTGAGCAATGAGAACAAAGTAGATGCATAACAATCTTGGGTTGCAAGTTATACCAAAAACTATAATAATAAAAAACAGGCATAGTAGTAGCACAAAAATAGACATGTTATTTGGTGCAGCAGAAATACCTATACACACTTTAGCCTTTTTAATTTTTGACAAAAGGACCAAATCAATATGCTGAAGAAAAGACAGCCTCTTAAAAATGGTGGGAAGGCATGATGTTGCATGCCTGTGGTCCCAGCACTAGAAAGGCTGAGCCAGGACAATGGCTGAAAGGTTGAGGCCAACCTGAGCTATGTAGTAAGTTCAAGAACAACCTGAACTACCTATCAAAACCCTGTCTCCAAAAATATGGTGCTGAGCCATATTTTTGGTTATCCACATGTGGAAGAATGAATCTAGACCCATATCTGTCACGCTTTATTAAAATAAAATCAAAATAGATCAAAGCACTAGAATTATAACAGTAATACTGAATCTCCTGGATGATAAAATGGGTAAAATTCTTAAAGATATAGGGATAGGCAAAGAGTTTCTGAAAAGAACCCCAGTTGCACAACAAACAATATCCCAAATCAACCAGTTGTATATCAAATTAAAAAGCTCTTTTTTAAATTTTATTTTTCTTTTTCTTCAAATCCATTTTATTTCAAAGAGGAAAAAACAAATTAAAAATCTCTTGCACAGCAAGGAAACAACCAACAGGGTGAAGAAACAGCCTAAAGAATGGGAGACAATCTTTGCCAGCTACTCCTTGAACAGAGAACTAGTATCTAGAACACAAAAGAACTGAAACAAAAAAAAACAAAAAAAAAACAGACCCACCAAAATAAAAGACACAATCAAAAATGGGCAATTAAACAGACATTTCTTAAAAGAAGCAATACAGTGCTCACTTCGATAGCACATATATTAAAAGAAGAAATACAAATGGCCAATAAGTACTTGAAAAAAACATTTAGTATCTTTGGCCATTGGAGAAATGCAAATCAAAACAACACTGAGATTCCATCTCACTCCAGAAAGAATGGGTATCATCAAGAACTTGAAAAACAATAAATGCTGGTGAGGTTATAAGAATAAAAGAAACCTTCCACACTGCTGGTGGGAATGTAATCTAGTATGACCATTATGGAAATCAGTATGGAGATTCTTCAAAAAACTAAAAATAGAATCAGGTTACTTGCAGTCTAGAAGCCAGGGTCTTCACACTTAGCTACATCCTCAGCCACCTTAATGTATTTTAGACAGTCTCATTCAAGTCACTAAATTTCTCAGGCTGTCCTTAAAACTCCCACCTTAGCCTCCCAGAGTGTGAAGTTTACAGTCATGTACCACCATACTTGGCTCAATTCTTTCTTATTTTCTTTGGTACCAGGAATTGAACTCAAGACCTTGTACTTGTCAGGCAGGCACTTATATTGCTGAGCTATATTCCTGGCTCAATCATTTCTTAATAGAACTTTTTTTTAAAAAGTGAAGAAAGCAGACAGACAAGTGAATAGAAAAAGATTTCTTGGTAACAGTTAATGGCCTGCAGATTCAGTTCCTATTTGGATTCTGTGACCTTTATGCCTGTCAGTGTGAATCAGTGAAAGTACGAAGGGAACAGGCATGAGATTCCAAATAGTAAACACCAGGAATTATTAATTATTACTCAAATATTCAATAACATCACAAAGACAGCCTCAGATCACTATAAGTAAACCAATTTCATTTCCATAATAGTAATATACTAAACCTTGGGATCAGATGGTACTAGAGGATATGTGAATGAGCCTTGCCAAATTTAACCATTTTCCCACTATTTGCTCCAATGGCTGACCAGTGCTCTGAATTTTTAAAATACATATGTTTGTACTTTAAATTTATATTATAGCAAACTTACATAGGCTGGAAGCCATTTTGTCTCTTTGGTAACATTATATATATCAACTTATTTTCTATAGAAAATTTTAATTAAAGTTACAGTATTTGCAGGATATTCTAAAAAAGAAAAATACAAATCCAGAAATAGTGGCAGAGAGGCCACAACGAATGGAGCAAAAAACAAAATAAAGAAGACAAACTGACAACTAATGACAGAAAAAGAGCTCAACAGAAATGAGGCAGAGAAGATTGGATGATAGGAACAGCTATTTTGGAGAAAATGACGTCTTAAGAGGTAATACTGATTTAGTATCATCTTGTTTTGAAGTCTCATCAAGCTTTTGTTCTTCTGTCTCCATTGGTCTAAACAGGTTGTATCTTATTGGATTTTATTATGTATGATAGTATAAGCAAAAACTTTTATAGACAAGGAGATTATACAGAAACCATTGTTCATTTTCTGTTAGTTGATTCTAAATACCCTGTAATGCTGTCATTCCCTTAAATGGTTTTACATTGTTTTGATATATTTGATGCTACAGTATACGAAGTTATACTCAAAGATTTCAAGGAAAGAGACAATATGGTAACTCCTTTTATGTCAGGATTATCTTGTGGTGAAACACTATTCTGCTTAAATGGTTATGTTCTGATCTGCGCTGTTTTGCTGTTATGCCTTCTTTTATCTCAATCTCCACTTCACTACTTACTTTTTTATTTTTATCCTTTTAATTAAGGGAAAAATAAATAAAAAATAGCAGGATATATTATAGTAACCCACTTTGACTTTCCATTATCTTGATTTAAAGCCCTGTATTGCTCTCAACATCTTATTTTGACTGATATCCCTCTATTCTGTTTTGCTTGATGGTACCAGATTCGAAAGTTTAGGCAACAGCTGTGGGATTCATTATGACGTCCATTCTGGTTGACTATTATCTACTTTTGAAGACCTATAATGTCTCCAATGTTTTGGTTTTGTTCTTTACTGTTTTGTTCAATTTTATTATAACTGATGATATAGGCAATTCTATTAGAGATAGCGAGAGGCATTATGGTAACCATTGTTGATCACCTTGTATTATGCTTTTACATTATCTATTATGTCCACCCTTTTGATTTGATTGACTCTGTTCTGTTATGTCACATTTGGTTCTACTCCCTTCCAAAAAAGTAATAAGAACTGTGAGAGCAACAAAACCCAAAATGTGTAATTGTCATTGCACAAAAGAGAGGAAAAGAAAGTGCTCTAAACGATATAACTGCATGTATATTTAAGTGTATAAGATAGATAATGATATCACTGAGTTTTGTTGGATCATTGAACAGAACTGTTTGCAGTCTCACTGTCGGAATGTCCACTTTACAAGCTTTAATTTTGTGACTTGAACAATTATTTCTAAGATGACAATATGTAATCCATTAACTAGTGATTTCCTACTGTTTATTTTTTTCTGTAAATCTGTATAACTTGTACCCTTTCTCTGATTTTTTTTCTCCTTAAATAAAATTTTAAAAAAAAGTTACAGTATTTGTATTATGTATACAAGTTTCACATTATTTGAATTATTGACACCACCTATCTTATACTTTAAATCTATCGTATTTCACATTAGTTAACAGCATGCAAAGGCTATCTGTAAGTACAAATTTCAAATTCTGCAACTAAATATAAATGTTATAGA